GGGAACACATTGCTTTGGACACCCCAGGGGAAGACACCTGGAGGGATCTCGAGGATCAGGACGAAAACCCTCATGACAGCGACAGAAGAAAGTGCCCTCGGAACTGACGCAGATGTGCTCACAGGTGTGTCTGCCCGAGCGGCAAAGGTCTATTTCCGACTCACAATACCGGCCCTCATAGCCCGGCCGACACTGACATTCACCGGAATCGTTGCAATCACCCTGACCGGCTATGCAACGAGACTTGCAGTCAATGCGTTCACACCGTTCTGCGCCAGGGACCGCAGGCTCGTAGCCAGGTTTACATTCACAACGATAGGAACCACGAGTGTTGACACAAATCTGTTCGCATTTGTGAGTTCCCAACCGACACTCATCAATATCCAGCTCACAGTTTATTCCAGTGAAGCCAGGAAGACATTGACAATTACCGTGGTGACATTCCCCTTGTCCACGGACACAGGTGTCGAAACATTTGTCGCGAATGCACGTCAGATTATCATGCCGGTCTAGGTTGAATCCGGGATCGCATTCACACTTGAAAGAACCGAAGGTGTTGATACATCGCTGGTCACAACTATTTGGCTGTTCGCGACATTCATCCACATCTAACTCGCAGTTAGGTCCCTTGAAGCCACTTCGACACACGCAACGTCCATTCTGACATTCGCCTTGACCAGGGACACAAGTGGCGAAGCATTTACCGCGAATGCATGTTCTATTATCACGCGGGTTTAGGTTGAATCCGGGATCGCATTCACACCTGAATGACCCGAATGAGTTTATACATCGCTGGTCACAACTATTTGGCTGTTCGCGACATTCATCCACATCTAACTCGCAGTTAGGTCCCTTGAAGCCACTTCGACACACGCAACGTCCATTCTGACATTCGCCTTGACCAGGAACACAAGTGTCGAAACATTTGTCACGAATGCACGTTCGATTATCACGCCGGTCTAGGTTGAATCCGGGATCGCATTCACACTTGAAAGAACCGAAGGAGTTGATACATCGCTGGTCACAGGTATTTGGCTGTTCGCGACATTCATCCACATCCAACTCGCAGTTAGACCCCTTGAAGCCAATTCGACATACGCAACGTCCATTCTGACATTTTCCTTGTCCAGGAACACAAG